GAATTTACAGAGAGCAGTCACACAGTGACTTCATAAACTCTGTGAAAGGCCAGAGGAAAGGAAGACAGAAGTACAGCAAAATTATGAGACAGAATAACTCCGATGAGTGTAAAACATTGAAACTGACATCAACCCAATTTTCCCTTCTGGGTTTTTCACCTCCTCTTCCTCATTATGTGTACATCTCTGATAGAGTATGTGGATTTCCAGCAGAGTTTAGCATGTTAAGAATGACAAGAGAGAAATGTATCCTTTGAGATAAATGTTTCCCTTTCCTCTGGGGCAGTCGTGTGGGGGATAATGCTCAGCACTCTCTTCCACCTTCAATACCGCAAGCAAGAATGGCTGCCCACTGCTCCGGGTGTGTGTTCACCATGTGTGTTTGTTCTCTATTCACTGCTTTGTGTGCACTTGGATGGGTGAAATGCAGAGCACAAATTCCGAGTATGGGACACCTTTCATTTCCTTTTTGAGGATGTTACTAACATAAACAGATTTTCATTAAATATGATTTCTGAAAATGAGGACAATACATCTCATCAGTTAATTTTGTGCTTGTATTTTTGTAGAAAGGCCTGTTAGAATATGCTGAACTCAACCATGATCTTCCTGAACCAGTGGACTGAAAGAAGTCAGTCAGCATCCCTCACCTCCCTCTGGACTACTGTGGCCTATGTGCCATCAATCTTTTGTGTCCTCCACCAACATTCTCTTTTAAAAAAACAACAACAAAAAAAACACTGATTTAATCATTTATTTCCCTTTCCTCGTATGATTGATTGTTTGTCCTATTTGTCACAGTGCTATACTATTGTGTGTATAGTCGGTACTAAAAACCACATGCTTTTCACAAGGTTGCATTTTTAATAAAGTGAATTGATTTATTTGACTTTCTCTCTGTGTTAAATATATTGTAACTTTAAAACCTCAATAACTTTTCTGTCTATGAAGTTGAAATTACGGATCAGTTGTCTTTTTGTACCCTGTGTACACTGCATTGAATGATGTGACGCAAACTGCTACAGCAGTTAGTTGGATATCAGCTCACATAAGAGATAAAGTCATGCGTTTATCTTCGGCCAAAATGCTTTCATCTACTGACAAAAATAATCTAACTTTTAGCATTAGCTAAAGGAAACCAAAACAAAGAATTTCCCTTTGGGTTCCACTGGGAGAAGATGATAATGGCTAGTGAATACCAGTCCCACCCTTAGCTCATCCAGCCTGACATCACTAAGTGTACATACAGTAAGCTTCACAAATATTGGCACCCTTGGTATAATAGGAGAAACATGGAAATGTGTCTTTGGTGATTATCCACTTGGTCATTCATTCAATGCATTCACAAAATGTAATCTTTAATTAGTAATTAAATTAAAGTTAAATAATTCAGTAAAAAGATTTCTTTGCCAAGATTTCTCCTATAATGTGTAATAAGGTGGATGAACATCTGTCAAGAAATGTGAGACCATTCCTCCATACAGAAATCTCTCCAGATCCTCCCGTTTCAGAGGTCCTTGTGGACTTTCTTCAACAGCTTATTACACAGGTTTTCTTTGAAGTTTGGGTCAAGGGACTGCTATGTACAATGGGCAGTGAATCATTTTTGTGTTGATATTGAGGTGTGGATCATTGTCCTATTGAAGGAGCCAACCAGAGTCCAGTTAACGCTTGCTGTGTCATTGAGGTGTTGATTTAAAATCTGGAGGTTATGATAACATGTATCCTAATAAGATGTCCAGGGCCTTTGGAAAACAATTAGCCTCACAGCATTAAAGATCCAAAATCATACTCCACAGTGGGGATAAGGAACTTTTCTATATTGGCTGACTTTCTGTCTATACCAAAAAAGTAGCATTTTGGTCTCATCTGTTTTCCTTAGCTGACTATTCTTTGTTAACCAAACAGAGCTAGTGTTAGTTCCTGTTACTAATACTTCTCAAACAAGATCTCCCCGTACAGTTTAATGATATTTACTGTAAATTTGTGAATGCTTCTCCAGAGGAGAAAACCTTTTGAAAAACAGTCAGCTTTCATGCATAATATTGTGTTATTTTCATTGTGGGGTCATAGCAATTCTTGGTAATAACAACAGAAAAAAAACATATGGTCCTGGACTATCATCTTTCATTTCAGGGAAACCAGTTTTAAGGAAACTGAACTGTGTTTTCTGTTTGTGGTTTTAAAATACTTTTGCAAATTATGCTTGCTTATTTAATTTTTTTGTTTGTTTGTTTGTGAAAACCTTCCCAAACAAATTAGTGCAAATGAGTGTTCCGACCATCAAATAATTATCTCATTGCCATTTCCATTAAATCTTATTGATTTGTGAGCTGAAAAAACTTTTTTTTCACAAATCGTTGTTTTTTCAGGTCTTTCCCATAGTGTGGAAAAACTATAGAAATTAGCCTGTGTGTCACCTCATATTTATAGCCCAGTGAAACAGGAAGTCAAGACTAATCAACAACTTTTTTGAGACTCTTTTTTTCCAGCCCTATCATTTAAAGGGGAAAAAAATCAGTTAAAGTGTGTGGACCTATTCATTTTTCTTGGCAGTATAATCTCAAATTATGCAACTGTATTACAAATAACTGCAAGGCAATATGTGAAAACAATACTAAACCATGTTTCATAAATAAGCCCCAACAGAAATCGGGAATGAAATTCTTTATACGAATTTATATTTTATACGAATACTTCACTTACGTTACGTATTGAAATTACGTTTTAATCCTAGCATTGACACTGTATTATCGTCATTGTTCAGTAGAGGGATTGTTTGTGCTGTTTATGTGTGGCATCTGCACATAGTTCACTTGTGCCATCTAGCGGAGAAAAGCGATTATTCACACAATTGGCTGGTTATTGACCCACAAATTGATTGTTGTTCAGTATAATGTGTAGTGTAAAAATTAAAGCTTTATGTAAATTATTTTAATTATTTTTTGCCTTTATAGCCTAAATGTTTTGATTATAATTGAGTGGAAAGCAGTATTCACACCCTATCCATAAACACAAGACATCTGTTTGTTTCTTCTTAAAAAGGTCATACCTTTGGTTTTCCACATTAGACCGATGTTAATAAAGTTATTAAGGTCATACATGTGCTGTAATGTGTCACTATCTTTTCAGATCAATGCTAATTTTATGTGATATGTATGTCCATTCTTTAAATGTTCCTAAATAATAAACTAGATTTCTTTCAACATTGTCTTACAATGTTATGAAATACTTTTCATTAATTGACAACAGTATATACTTTGATAGTGTTATCACTAATAAATGTACTTGCAAGGGCCTACTTTAAATCCTTACACCTCAGTGTAATGTCAGATATGATATGAATCTATATGCAGAATCTCTATGTTCTCAAGGTGAGTGTGAAAATGTTGACATGGAGTTGACATGGCAACAACTGTATTTTTATCCTTGATAAAAAGAAAAATAATTTGCCATCTCCCAGTACCCATATGTGCCACCACTGAGCTGATTAGAGAACAATTACAGCTTAACAGTGTTTCTATGCCTCCGCTATGAGTGTTTATATTTAGCAAGCGAGAGTGTAGTGAGAGATGATCAGTTCCTTCGTCTCTGCATTAAATTTCACCTGACTTGTCCATTTACTGATTTTGATGTTTTTATTATGATGACATGCTAACTGAATCAGGAACTACAATGTTAATGGAAGCAACATTTGGCCTTCTTAATTGTACAAAACACTACATCTGACACAAGTATACAATGCTACATTAAATATTTTCCTTATTGCCCTGTAAATTAAACAAAGCAGCATTTGTTTTTCTTAGCTGACGATTCTTTGTTAACCAAACAGAGCTAGTGTTAGATCCTGTTACTAACATTTCTCAACCAACAAGATCTCCCCATACAGTTTACTGATATTCACTCTGTAATTTTGAGAATGTTTCTTTAGAGGAGAAAACCTTTTGAAAAAACAGTCAGCTTTCATGCATAATATTGTGTTATTGTTTTTACAACAGAAAAAAAAAAACAGTACTTTTATCACAAGACATCTCCTGCAAACTATTTCAAACTTCTAATTTTATGTTGCAAACCAACTGAACATCACACACTGTATTATTTCTAGTGTATAACCACAGAAAGTCTGTGGTGAAAGTGATAGTGGGCCATTTCCTGTATCGGTTCATTCTTTTATCTACTTGTTTGGCACAATCAGCTGCATACAAATCTTTAGACTATACATGTTACCAGTATTGACTGTATATATCGTCTTATCTCACCTTTCAAATAATGGCAAATCCCTAAAGGGGGATTTTGCCTAATTATGTGCATTGACTATTTCAATCTTAGGTGTAGGGTTCTACAATATGCCCATGCATCTTAATTCTTGAATTTGAAAAGGCTCCAGTGAAATGACTATGTTTAGTATTTTGAGTTAGGTTGTTTCCTTAATACAGATTCAAACATACAAAGAAACTCTTAGAAATTACGAATCCTACTATTGTTCATTCAATTTGCTCATGAATATTAAATAGATTGTGATGGCGTTCTTTCCTGAGTGTTCAGCCACGCAGTCTAATTAATATTAATGAGCCCAGTTAATTCGCCAGTTGACAGGCTTTCACCTAGCGACGTCTGCCTTTCGCCAAATCACTCAGGGCTAGTGGCAAAACGTCACGCTGCGTAAATAATATTCATGAGCCAAGCATTCGCCGTAGTAGGATTTTTTTTTGTCAGTAAAATTGTTTAATGGAATTTTACATATTGTAAGATGAAACAGAATTTACATCGTGTACAAAATTGACATTGTATAACATCTATGTTTATTCCAGTATTTTATAATGTGCATGAATATTATGAAGTGTATAATCAGTCTAGTTTTTTAAATTAATTTTTATTATTATTATTATTATTATTGTTTCGCCGTAGTAGGAATTGTGAATTCGTATTTAAGACTGGCAGATTCACTTCCAGGTGCTAGGAGACGCGTCGTCCACTCACAATTCAACACGAACTGCGTTCGGCCTAATAAATGCGCACGCGCAGCAGCGCTGTCCTCTCTCTTTCCTGCACACATTGCCACGTTATTAGCGGCAGACACCAAATTCAAGCGACACTTCAGACTGTTAAAGGTGAAAGAAGACCCGCCGCGCTAACAATCTCCCCTGTTTCCATCACGGTATTATTAATAGCTGGCACGTTTGGAGGTGATCCGAGATGCTGAAGTTGTTGATTGTGTGCGCACTGGCCGCTATGAGCGCGGCTGATATCGCTGAGGAGGAGGACGTGCTCGTACTGAAGAAAAGTAACTTCGAGGAGGCGCTCAAAACTTACCCAAATATCCTTGTTGAGTTTTGTAAGTATTCGCCAACTTTGTTTGAATTGTCGTTGCTGTGTTCATGTCGATAGCTTGTGCATGAGGAAAATGCTAAATGAAACCAACTCTCAGTGAAATTGGAATTGTTTTTTATTCTTAGTCTTGATTTGCTGCAGCAGTACTTAATCTCTTGCAATCATAACTCAAGTAACAGACGTGTGCTAACCAAATCTTAATGATAATATTAAACCGTAATGTAAGAACGTAATTTTGAAAGCGTTCAGAGAAGTGGTTCCAATGTAACGTTAATGATTTGAATACGTCTTTGCCACTCGCCCCAAAACTTTCTGTTTTAACAAGGCAAAAGTACGTTGAATCCCTTTACGAATAATGCATTCGATTCAAGTTGGTAGATTCGCAAGTACGTATTCAGGGAGATTCAGCAGCCTTGGATCAGTAGCTCTGAGTTCCTTTCGTGTTGAAAATAATAAATGCATTGATTTGCACTTTCACTTGTTTTTCTACTTTCGATTTCCTACTGCTTTGTTTTTCGGTTTCGCCACTTCATGCAAATGAGATGCAGTATGTTATGGGCAAGCATGAATGAGTTTTCAACCTGAAGAGACTTCTCAAACTTGTTTGTAACCGGGCTCCTAGGTTAGTTTAACCGGGCGCTTTACCGGGCTAAATTCATTGGGCACTCTCAAAGTATATCCTGATACTGGGACGTGATAGACTCTCGAGTTGCCCAATCACTAGCCTCCACGAGTGTTTCGTCATAATGCGAGGCATGACGGCGAGTATTATGGGCCGGACTTTCCAGCGGCCCCGGGCTAGGTTGACGTGTACATCAGAAAAATAACATTTGTTCCACATTGAATTTGGTATTTAAAAACACTTTTCATGTGAACAATGTAATGAAAGCGTAAACTGTACAGTCTTTCATTAGTGTTTTATTTGATAAAAGAGTGAAGGAGTATTTGATACATGTGTATTTTTATAACCACTGAACTTTGGTCTTGACTTTAATAACATGCCATGTTGTGAGATATGACGTGTTGAGAAAGATTAGAGTAATAAGTTTGGCCTACTTTAGTTTATCCAGTTTTACTGGGTTTGAACACTAGAATAAACATACATTCTTTTTATTCATGTGTACCACTAACACATTCATGCCGACAAATTACTGCTAATGTGGTTTGTGAGTAATGAATGTAAAATCACTAACATGCAGTGACAGTAAATGTCAGTTTTATTGAATTTAACCATTTTTTGCTAATTGCAGATGCACCATGGTGTGGGCACTGCAAGGCCCTGGCCCCCGAATATGCCAAAGCAGCTGGTATGCTGAAAGCTGAAGGCTCAGACATCAAACTAGCAAAGGTGGATGCAACAGAGGAATCTGAACTCGCTCAGGAGTTTGGTGTTCGTGGATATCCCACCATCAAGTTCTTTAAGGGAGGAGAGAAGGAGAACCCCAAGGAGTATTCTGGTGAGCGATATCAGCCACAATTTTCCTTCATAATATCCATGGTCCGTCTTTGTGTATGGACTACTAGACTGGCTTCAGCTTTTGACTTATACTTTTGTGTTAAAAAGTCAAATGATTTCAAAATCATTAACAAGATTTTTTTTTTAAACCAGATAGAAGGAAATCAGTAAGTGCACAAACGGTTCTAACAGGTTTGTTTTGGTTAGAATAGCTGAAGTGTAACTGAGCTGTATTGATGCCATCTTATACCGTAAACCATAATTCAGTTTAGATGGGTCAGTGGTCTGCATACCCTGAACGTGAGTGTTAACTGCTGAAGACATGCATGTCATTCTGTACATGGAAGCCCTGAGTTCCAGCCTGTTTGTAGAAGGCTCCTCCCCCTTTCCTTCAACCTGCAGTTCCTCACGTTGCCTGTGGTCTGGTTGCTGTAGGCTGCTCTCCATGGCTGTGTTTATTACGGTCTTACTCCTGCAGACCAGACCTGCCTCAGCAAATGCAAGTTCCATGACTTTCAGATGTCATTAGGTCTAAAAAAAAAAAAAAGTAACACCCACTTTTCAGATTCCTTGTGGGCTTACAGAAAACAAAATTCCAGAATGTTTAATCTTTGTCTTATCTGGAGTCCTCGATGGAAGGACACTATCAGGGCATCTGTATCAGGTGATGTCATAAGAACTCCGACTTGATCAAAAGCTGCACCACAGTGTAATTGTTGATGTGTCACATCAGTAGTTCCTGCTGTAAGCTGTGGTGCTCGCTCCTCACTCATTTAAAAACAGCATAATAATTAAGACTACCTTTGAAACTGTGACATGTCATTCACATTGACAAAATGTCGGTCCTGCCCAGTGGTCATAAATTGGTGAGGATGCATGAAAGGAGTACTTTAGTTGTGTTTACTCTGTATTTAATAGCTTTATATAATTTTTTTTTTGTTTTTAATTATCAGTGCATTTTCTGTAGCTCAAAAAGTAGAACTGGGGATTAGCACACCAAGGTCACGTGTTTATTTCCAAATGAATGCATGGACCGATGAAATGTATGCCTGAAATGCAGTGCAAGGTGCTTTGAAAAAAAAAATATTATAATAATGTGCCAAATGTAGAACATCTCCTATAGTTGCTATGACACTTTTTTTCTGTACATGTACAAGAGTTTGCTTGATACCACCAGGTTCCTTTGTCTCACTATGACATGCTCATGCTCTGTCTACAGCTGGCCGACAGGCTGATGACATCGTCAACTGGCTGAAAAAGCGAACTGGCCCGGCAGCTACTACTATAACTGATGTGACACAGGCAGAGTCTCTTATTGCTGATAATGAGGTTGCAGTCATTGGGTTCTTTAAGGTAAATGTCATTCTTTTCTTCAGCTAGTTTAGTTTTGGATGCTTTCTTTTAAGTTGTTATTATTATTATTATTATTATTATTATTATTATTATTGTTTATAAAAAAAAAATTTCACTGTCTCTCTGCAGGATGTTGAATCAGAAGATGCCAAGACCTTCATTAAAACCGCAGAGGCTGTGGATGACATCCCCTTTGGCATCATCTCAGATGATGCAGTCTTTTCGAAGTTTGAAGTGGCCAAGGATGGTGTTGTTCTTTTTAAGAAGGTAAAGAAGGTTCTCTACTTTGTAACTCTGCTGACTAAATTTCAGAGAACTTATTCATATTTGTTTATAACTTTATATTAATGGATAGTAGCTAGGGGTGTGACGATTTTTTGCCCCCCCACCTGATCCCGGTCATTGAATTAAGTATCTGCCAATACCAAGTTTTCTTATAGGAATGTCTGTTTGGTGCACACTTCAGTTATTAAAATCAATCCAATGTATAAAGTGTTGTGCAGAAAGTAAAAGAAATATATGTATTAGGGGTGACCCTAGCCTGATTCGACTACCAATCTCAGTCGAATATTCGCGGGATGTTATGATCATGCCATTTTGGCTATATGGGGGTGCTCAAATGTCTGACTTCACATAGAACTACTGGTTTTCTCCCAATAAGTTAATATACAGCCTATTAAAATAATGCTGTAAATCCATACAAATAATATAAATCCAACCACCCCTATAGATTTAAGTTTCACTTTCCATAATCCGTGACCGACAGAGGAGCATCTTAGTGGCAGGGATTTAAAACTTTAACGAGACTCAAATTGACACAGGCTGAAAGACTGGATTTTTTAGATCCGGTACGGTACAAGTGATTTCAAAGCATTTCAGCCGGTTTATATATATCGTGTATAGGGCTGGGTAAAAAAATATCTATCTCTATTAATCGATTCTCATTTTTACAGAACAATATCGATTCTTAAATCCTAAGAATCGATTAGTCTAGCCTGTTTTCAGTTAATGGACGGAACGTTGAAAGGGCACTTCCCATCCAATATATCGCAATAAGCATTGTGCTTTGGTACTTTTAATATGAAACAAAGTCTCAGATTTAAAATTCTGTCCATTGTATTGCAGTATTCAAACAATAAATGCCGTTTTGGCGCTGTTTAATGTGGAGTGAGAGATTGCAGTAGCGCCTCAGTTCAACAGACAGATGCGGCAGCGCATAGCGCACGTGAACTGATCATCTTCACATTAATACCAGTTTTAGCACTAAATAAACATGAATAAACATCCGAAGGTAAGTTAAAAGAAAGAGTATAACTTTACAAGCTGTATCCTGTCTCATGTAATCGCTCAATCAGTGTTTCAGCCTCACAAAGACGTTAATATAACGGCTTGTAAACAATGTCACGTAACGTCACATTTACCTCCGAAAGCATATTCGGTGACCATAAACTCATTAGTCGGATAGAAAAATAAACTGTAGAGAGGCGAATTTTGCTAAATATATGCACCAAATAATATATTATAAATTTTACTGTTCTTCAATGTTTAATTTGTTTGAATAAAGACTTCATTAAGTGTAATTTTAACAAATCAGTCAATTTTAACGTTCAATATTATAGTAATGTAGTACCAACTCATGTATATTTTACAGCATTAGTCGAGTTTTTTTTCCTTAAATTTGGCATGTAGCCTACTGTAGGCTACCTGATATTTCCAAAATAATCGATATTGAATCGAATCGAATTGGTAATTGAATCGAATCGCAAGCTTGTAAATGAGAATCGAATCGTGAAATTTGTGTCAAAACCCAGCCCTAATGTGTATATATTATTTATCTCGTATAAGATGCATTTGGTTGAGTTGCGCTGCAGTAAAGCGCTTCATTGTAGTGCTATGGTGATTAGCTCTTCAGCGCGCAGCGCGAGCAGGACAAACAACAATGCAGAATATTAATATCTATGACTGGGACTGTCATATACATAACATTATAATGAGAAAACCATTATAATAAAACGCTGTGAATTTTTAGAGTTTAGTCGCTGTGTTTCTGCACGTTGTTGCGTGAAGAACGCGTCCACAAAAGGAGTTCATTCAGAGCCGCACAGACACGTTCGTGCATTCGAGGCATTTTGTGCAGATAGCCAATAAGTCGTAACATTAACGTTATGTTGTATAAATAACGAAGCGTATTCTATATGAGATAAATGATGAGTTGAATCCCATTGGTTAAAAACCTGCTGCTTCATTCTACTGGTCATCTTCAGCGCGCGCAGCTCAAAACAGAAATGCGGAACATTAATAACTACTGTCATATACATAACGTCATAATGAGAGCACTATTGTAAAAAATGTTGTGAATTCTTAGGGTTTCGCTGACATTTAATGTTAACTATCTTTTAATCAAAACATAACATTGTTTACCCCGTTTGTATCTGCGAGGCGTCCGTTAGACCTAAAGTTACATATTTTCCCTGTGTGTTAACGTAATTATGACTGTAGACATTGTAAACGGGCGTTGTGGTCACAGTTATGAATATGGGACTACTAATATAAACTTGTATTTTATATGTACAGTAAGCAGAATAATTGCAAGATAATGTGGAGGTAATGTTAGAAAGAATGAAGCTTGCAGTGTCAAAATGTCAGTCAAGTCTGAATTGGGACGCAACCCATAGCGCGTTATGACAATGACGTCTCAGATCGTCTGACGGACGATAAGTAAATTGATAAATGAATGAGTGATCATTACAAACGTGAAAATTAACAATGATGGATGACTGACAGTGAGCGCATCTACGCTGCAAATTTGCATATACAATTGCTGGCGTTAGTCGCAAATATTAAACATGTTTAAGCAAATCTTTGAGAAAACCACTTGCAATGACTGGTTCTTGAATTATAAAATCATAATCTTTAGACACCACATACTATACAATGTTATGTTTCTGCTGACTGCAAACAGAGCCCCACTGAAAGAGACCTGGGGTGTATTCCAGAAAGCACGGTTAACTTACCGTCAGCTATACCCTGAACTTTCGGTTGATTAACCCCAAACCTTGCTTACTCGAGGTATGTGGTTCCAAAAATGCGTCCTGGAGTAAGTTAATTCAACTCAGAGTATGTTCCTGGTTAAGACTCGAGACATTCTCAACAGAGCGACGAATCGACGAGTCGCTATGGAAACGGACGCTAAGAAAAAGCGCGCCATGCTGTTTCTTTCTTCTTCTTTTGTTCAATGGTCGTTTACATGCTTAGTGCATATCGCCACCTAATTGATGGTTGTGCAATCATTTTGATTTTTATATTGTTTGTTTGATGCTAATTATATATTAAGTCATATCAGATATGTATTTTGATTTAGAATTTAGACATTATATAAAATTCAGATCCATGTGTGAGATGATAATATAAAATGTAATAAATAAATATAGGTGTACTCACTTTTGTGGCCAGCGGTTTAGACATTAAAATTATTTTGAGGGGACAGCAAATTTACACTGTTATACAAGCTGTACACTCACTACTTTACATTGTAGCAAAGTGTCATTTCTTCAGTGTTGTCACATGAAAAGATAACAAAATATTTACAAAAATATGAGGTGTACTCACGTCTGTGAGATACTGTATAGTGCTGTACTACAGGGACGGTTCTAGACCCTTTTAGGTGGGCTTCAGCCACCCTATTTGTCGTCTCAAGCCCCCTAAAACTATAATCGGCTGTCTGAACGATCAAACCAGTGCTGCTTCCTCATGAAAGTTTATCGTTCTCACTTTTAAGGGCAAGATGGCACGAGTGAGATCTCAATGTGGTATTCACGCGCTGTGATATCGTTACTGTGTACACACAATATTAAAATAGCCTACACACAATATTATGTCACAATAACTGTCTTGACGAGTATCCAAGTAAACACAGTCGGTTACGTCTTAACAGTTAAGAAAATATTAATGTGTGTCAGTATAACGGATCCATGCATTTCTTATATTACGCTAATATTGTTAATAAAACAACAAAGGAAAAGCAGAGAAGCACTCACTGCTCTTAACCAAGTAACTTATGTAACTTTAATAGGTAATTGTGCATGTTTATTTCGTAATACAGTATTTTACAGTGCTTATGAAAACTGTATTTAGGAAATTTGTATCTTTGTATCTAATGGTCTCTCTGAGGGCTAAGCCCCCCTGAGGATGAAACCCTAGAACCGCCCCTACATTTAAAATGAAGACACCATTTTATTTCTCTTTTGAGATAACATATAGTCTCTATTCCGTTTTATTTTGTGCTGCTTTGCGAAAACAACACTCAATGTTGAAAGGGATAGTAGAGAAAAGCACATTTCCAAAACAGAAAAAATATTTATTAATTATTTAATGATACAATTGTTGTTAGGTCTTAAGTAAACACATATATAGTTACAAACTTAAAACAACAACAACAATATAGCCTAATAAAATAGCATAATGATAATAATTATAATAATAATCATATAAAATAGCCTAATAATAATAATAATAACAAGTAATGAACCAGATGGGCAAGATTACACTATTCTTATTAAATCGTTGTCCATTCTCCGAACCAACTACAACTGAGAGACCGTTACTCATGTCTTAACTTTCAGAAGAGTGTATCAGTGCAGTGCCATATTTAACGTAACATTGAAATGGCTGAGACAGACATGAGAAAGAGGTTCAATAGACTTTATCATTCATCTTGTCCACCGATACTTCCAAGAACTGGACAACATGTTATATAAAAATAATGCCTATTAGGACACGACTCATTCATGTAGCCTAAATACAACGATATTACAAAAAAAATAAAAAGTCCAGTAAAACGTTTGTATGACGCATTATTATCTGTTATATTTTTCCTTTGCCATATTTTAACATTGAAATGGCTGAGACAGACATGAGAAAGAGGTTCAATGGACTTTATCATTCATCTTGTCCACCGATACTTCAAGAACTGGACAACATTTTATATAAAAATAATGCCTATTAGGACACAACTCATTCATGTAGCCTAAATACAACGATATTACAAAAAAAAAAAAAGTCCAGTAAAACGTTCAAACTTTGTATGACGCATTATTATCGGTTATATTTTTCCTTTTTGTTGTATTTTTTTATTTGATGTATTAGAAGAAAGTGTAATAAAACCAAAAATAAACATGAAAAAATGACATGAAGTAATTTGTTAAAGCTAAATTAATGCCTTGTTCATTTTTTTCCTTTTAATTATCCGAAGGACTTGGTAGCCAATAAAAAGAAACGGCATAAAATTACTTTTTTTTTTTTTTTTTTACAATTAACAACAAAAAAAATTATAATCCAGCCATAATATCATTTTCATGTTTCAT